ACAAGTGTATCTCTGGAACCTTTTCCATATAAGATCTGCAAAGGGATACGGTTGCGCTGCAATTTATTCGCCACTATTGCTAAGGTCTTATGCTTCGCCGGACCTTTCATTTCTCTTCAGGGAGCTAAAAAAATATGCAAGATCACGAAGCTGAGAGCTCCAGGGAGCAGCCGATCCTTTCTCCTTCTCATAGTAGCGCTCCGAAGCTCCGGAAGCTCCGGGGAGGAGAGCTTCAACGATTTCATGAGCTCCAAGAACGCCACTCCTCGTCTGGAGCCCGGAGGGGTTGTCGGAAGAGTCCAACAAAAGCTAAGAACTCAAAAAACGGAGCCTCACGGTGCGGACCGGCAGTCGTAAACCCAGACCCCTGTATTTAGGGTTCATGTGTGTGGTGGACAAGAGACTCCGTGTAAGGCTGCAAGCACGGAGGGTTCGGTGGTTCCTTTCTGGTGGGTGTTGCTGAGAAGCACAAGGGCATCTTAGAAGCCGGGGTAATGACCAAGGATGCTACTATTGTAGATCCGCATTAAATCAGGGGCCCCTCTTATATTCCGAAGCTCACAGGGCCAGTATATGCCATGGCATGCCAGGTCTAAGACAGGACGGTAGTGACGGCTTCACATGAGCATGCTGGATGGATCACGGCTCAAGAGGAAGCCCGCCGCAAGATCCACAGGTTCGGATTCGAATTGCAAGGCATGTCGCACGTCTGGGATGCACTGGAGATCCCAATGGCCGGAGGTGCCCTGAGTGTTGCCGTTCTATCCCTGGTCTACGAAGGCATCGGCATTGCTTGGCTCCCATTGCTTGGCCCGGCCATCCAGGAGATGTTCAAAGGGACTCCCGACTCGTACTATCCACGACATGGGACGGCCATGGACGGCACGAAAGCTGCAGATGAGCCAGCGTACACCATGTTGTGCCATGGCATTTCAGAAGCCGAGAAGACTTTTCCGCGAACTGGTCTATGAAATGCCTTCAATCCTAGATCCTAGAAGGAACGAAAGCCCTGTCTACGGGCCCAGGTATCTCTGCATGTATGGCTTGCTCGGAACGGCTGGCCAGGTGGCAGGTTGGAAGCTTTCGCCTCTTGGACCTGCTTTCGCCTTACCTGTCCTGCTGCAGGGTCCCACAACGGTCAGGGCTCGCGATGTTTGAGGTTTAGGGTTTAGGGTGGGTTGGGCGATTTTGGGATACAGGTCGATGTTTTCCACCAAATTGGCCGCCTACCGTCCACAGCTCGGGCGCAGCGGCCTCTGGCTTTCGAAGATTTACGCGTGCTTTCACACCACGATTGCTCTGCACCACCTGTTGCAACGAGGTATTCTTGGCATATTCTCTTTTGCTGTACTTAGTGGTCTCTAGACGAACTAAATTAGATATTCCGAGCTACAATGAGGTATTCCGTGCTGGGGCCCAATCGGTATGGAAAGCTCGAGCTGCATCGAGTGGGCATGGGGCAGCACTATGGCTATGCAGTCACTTTGGTATCGGCCCTCTTTTGCCTGGCCTATGCTCTGCGCCTCCTTTTAGGCACAAGCGCGACCACGCCAGCAGCAGATGTGCTTAGGGTGAAGACGGTTCTGGACACAGCATCCGTGGGAACAGTGCTGGAGATGGCTGTTTTCGTCCCAGCTATCATGGCAGATTGTCCTGTACCCGAGCCCATTGTCCAGTGGACATGGCGTCTCACCATGTCGAGTATTCCTCTCATCTTTGTTGTGGACTGTCTCGCAGCCTGACATAATGGACCTGTGAGCAAAAAGACGCCTGGGACTTGGAGAATTGGAGGTTCTGTTCGCTTTGGGGTCATGAAGAGTGGTTTGGGATCTCTGAGTTTCGAAACGTCGCGACGTCGCGCACGATAGCTGTGTTGATTACTTTGCTTGCTGGTTGCTTTGGTACAGACCATTCCTGCTCCGAGTCAGGAGTCACCCCTGCGAACTGTTGTGCGCACAGGGTCGGTCTCAGACGGCAAAGTGTCAGATACCCTTGTTGGGAGAACAACCCGAGTGCCAGCTGCTGAGCTTGAACTCAGTCGGGAATCACTCGATCTTTGCGCACGAGCTGCAGGTATGGGTTCCAGTCTCCACAACTTCAAATGCAATGACGTCTCCGCTTACTCCTTGGACGAGGAGCTTTGCAGTTGGGGATTCTTGGGGTGCTGGGCGGGGAACCTCATGTCCTCCTCGGTGATTCTGACAGAGCTCGGGCTGCTAGATGTGTACACGTAACTCAAGATTTCGGTGTCGCCCGGCTCTGCTAGCTTGAGTCCGGCCAGCATGTGTCAGATGCAGGCGCGCCGCCCAAAGACGAGCTGACAGAAGCATCTGAAATTAAGCCTTCCAACATGATGTCCCTAAAACCAGACTAGGCTTCAATGCTTGAGACCCTGAGCAAACACCATGCTCCTGACATGCATCGACCCGTGGAGGGGACCAAGGCTTTGATCAAGAAGGCGGCGGGGGGGGGGCCGGGCCGGGGTTGCAGCCTGAAATCTGAAACCCTAATGCACTAAACCTTGATAAACCATGAGTTCTACTCCTCACGGGGCACGCAACGTCGGAAGGACATGCTCTCGCTCAGCTGTTTAGAATACTTCGTGGGAGGGGAGAGTATAGGGGCCTGGATGGTAATGCGATTCCGAATTTAAGTATCACCACCCAAAGCTTCTATGTTATTGACCTTCTTTTGACCTCCGAAGTTGGGAGTTGGCGGGCAACGGTGGTGGGCCTCGTTTCGGAACTTTTCAGCGCCTTAACCCCAAGCCACGCGAGCCCTACTCAACCCTGAACCTCAAACCCGAAACAGTAATTCAGCTGAACCTTGAACGCCTAAACTTTCACCCTGGACAGGTGTTTGCCAAGGATTTCAAGCTGCAGTGTGAAAAATTTGGCCACTGTGCCCCTAGCCTGCAGTCAGCGGCACTTTGACGGATTCTGGTGGCTGTTGGGTCCTGTGGTCGTGCCTTCCGTCAGAACTATAGTCACCATTAATCGTATAGTCACCAGTAATATTTAGTCGTTATATATATTGCTGTGGTGCGGTGTTGGCATGCCTTAATGTGCGAAGTAGACCTTTCAGGCCAACGTTCGGGAAAAGAGCTTGTTGAATGCCTTCGAAAGAGGGCTCCAAGCAGCAACGAGCTCGACCATGCAGCTGAGTCGGGACGGACTCGAATGTCGAAGTGGCATGATCGAAGTCCGTCCTTTTCAGTATGTTTCCAACCATCTCAGGATGACGATGAGATGTTTTGCCATGAGAACATTCCGAACATGCTCCTTGGCGGCACGTCTCCTCTTCTCCATGTGCAATCTTTTCACGTCCTATCACCACGGTTGTGACACAGAACCTAGAGAGACGTATTCTCGCATTTTGTGGCTTGTAGTTCCGACCTTGCGCTGTCAGTGTTGCATGCTCTCAGCTCAAACAGTGCGTTATTTTGGCGGTGTTGATGGTGGTGCTGCCATCGTTCATGGCTACGATCATGACTATGTTGAGGGCACTCAATATTCAAAACAGTGCTGTGTTTATGATGTTTTTCTGGGTGAGGGTTCATGGATGCTTTGGTCAGGGATGCCTGCTTTTCTCTTGGTTCGTGCAGCCTGCAATGCCACTGGATGCGATTCTGAATGCCCAAAGTCTTGACCACAACCGACAAGCCCGGGCTTTGCAGGTAACCTGCTCTTGGAGGGGCTTTGTTGTGGTGCGGTCTCAGGCTTTGGGCGTCTGCAGCCGGATGATAGTTTCAGAAATCCCGACATCTCAGGATGCTTACTGGAAGGACCCTGAAACAGGAACGTTTTTGCTTGGGTGGTCTTTTATCCAACTTCAGGGTTTGCTGCGTTTTGGGCCCGAAACCCTTAGCCCCTGAGGTCTACTAAAGCCAGTCTAAAGCCGTAGACGCTACACCGTAAACTCCAGCAGCCCCAAACGTCCGCCCAAGGTGCGGCTCCAAGCCGGCAGCGTGAGGCCAACAGGACGATGGAAGCGCTTTCCAAAATGTGAGTCCACGTGTCAGGGAAGCTCGGGGTTGGGCCTCTTAGGCCATGCGGAGCTTTGGTTTTCAGTTTTTAGGGCATTAACATGTTCGGTCTGAATGCCGGATTTAGTTAAGATTTGTGGTTTTTGGCGTTGCCTTGCGCCGAGAAGTTTCTGAGTTTTCAGTTTCGGGCACGGGTGTTGCAGTGTTAAGGGCTTTCAGGTCAAGGCTGTGAGGTGACGGAAAGTCTGACGGGCTGTCCTGCCCTACGCTTCAAGCACATTCGCAGAAACTTGGAATTCAATGGTGCAGAAGTCAGCAGAGACTAGGAGGGTTGGAGTGCTGTTCGTGTTATCTTGAATTGCCAGTAATTGCGCTCCAGCAGGATCAAACGGAGTAAAGCGTCATCTTCCAGCGCACGAAGCCTGCCTTTTCCGCAGCATGTTGGCTCCAGCAAAGCATGTCGAGCAGCTTCCTGTATACTCCCTTTACGAAGAGGCGCTGCCCGGCGGCCTGAGCAAGAACTGCGCCGGATCTCATGCCATGCATACCGGCTTTGGAGCTCGGTCCCTGAAAATCAGATAGTGGTTTCATGAAATCAGTTCACTCCTCAATCTCCCCCAGCGAGCTCAAAGCCGAACTTGCTTGCGCACTCATCGCCTTGGGCTCGTCAGCTGCGCCATGCCAACGTTTGTATACCCAGCACAGGGACATGGCTTTGATGGCTTTGACATGTCAGTAAAAGGGTGAGTGGGAGAGTGAGAGGGAGAGCTTGAGCCAGAGGCAGAGGGAGAGGGAGAGTGCAAGTGAGAGTGAGATTGCGAGGGAGAGAGAGGCAGAGAGAAAAAGAGAGAGAGAGAGAGAGAGTGTGTGTGTGTGTGTGTCAGTGTGTGTAAGAGCTAAGCTCCGTTTCGGGGCCGTTATCGTAAGAGTGACGCGCTCTTTTGGTCAGATGCTGCTTTCTGTGCCGCTGTCTTGCTCGCAGATCAGCGACCTGGCGAGTCTCGGCACGGAAGCCATGGCTGATCGTTTTGTCCAAAAGGACTTCCTCTGGCTGCTGTCCTTTAAGGGTGGCACAGACTGCGAGAGGGGTCAGCTCTTGGGCCAGGACCTAATCAAGGACCTGGAGGAATGCAAGGGCATCCGACAAGAGCTTTGGACGCATTCCAAAAGCATGAAAACCGTCAAAATGACCAAGGTATTTCGATCTTTCATTGACGAGATCAGTGAAATGAGCAAGTCCATCTCTGAAGAGCAGCGGGAGCTGCAAGAAATCTGCCGAAAAATGCGTTGGCCCTCTGGGACCACAAAGATAGCAGAGAATCTTGGCCACGCGATCCTTGAGGAAGATATCTTGCCTCGATTCCGGGAGTATCTGCAAGACTCGCGCAGCCAGCCGATTCAAAAGCATCAAGTTATTTGCAGCGACCGCTATCTGC